GGAATGTTCGAAGAATTCTCAGATTCGATTAATTTGCTGAGGCTGATCTCAAAAGATTTTTTGCAACTTGGATTTGTGCAACTGTAGGCGATGTTGTGGTGTTGCGATAGCAAAATTGTTCTGCATGCCAGAGACAGAATTTTCCTCAAAAAGATGAAACACCTTGCGTATTCGCACAGAGAGTTGTAGGCATCAGGAAGTAGTCCTATTAGTAAAAATTCAACGGTTGCGAGGCTGCAGGTGGGTATTCTTCTTTTCAAGAGCTGCTTAGAAGCAAGTTGATGACAGGTTTGACTCTCTGGCATATGCCGGTACCAATTTGCCATCAAAAAAAAAATATAAATGAATCGCAGTGGGATTATTCGTTTCTCTGGTGGAACCGAATTCCAGATCCTTTGCATTTGTCAAAAAAAAAAATCGAACAAAAAGAACAGTATTTATAAATAGATAACAAAGCCCTATCACATACACAAATTACTGATTTAGGAAAGCAAAATAAATTGTGTTGACATTTATCACACTGCGCCGCGATCACGTTCGTTTTTAATACTGCATCTTTTTAAATGTTGTATTAAATTCTTTCTCCATTTGAATGACTTATTGCAGTGAGCGCAGGTATATGGCTTTTCGTTGTTGTGTTTTTGAACATGCTCGGCTAGGTCCCATCTGGTCCTGAAGCACTTGTTGCACGCTGGGCAGCTGTGTGGCTTCTCGCCAGTATGAATGCTCATATGCCTCTCCAAATTTCCTTTCCTTGCCGTGTGAATGCCGCAGTGTTTGCACTGGAACGGTTTCTCACCAGTGTGAGTGAGCAAATGTAATTTGAGATGGCTTAATTGTCTGAAAGTTTCCCCGCACTGATCGCATTTATGAGGCTTAGAATCGGTGTGAATTCTCATATGTTCCTTCAGATTGCCCTTGTTGCTTATGTTTTTGCCACATTCTAAGCAAGTATGTGATTTTCGCGGCCTGGGGTGTGTGCGTATGCTTTTCGGAGTTGAATCGCGGATTCTGGAGTGCACACCCAGTTCGTCGTCCCCAATATTCATCGCAGCATTTTCAGCAATATGCACTTGACTGGGGTCTGCGTCGTTCGCTAACACTCTAAAATT